TTAGCATGTACTCATAACCAAGAGACCTGGTGCCTTAGATGCTACTAAGAGAGACAAGCTAACGAGGTGCTGCATGATGACCTGCTGTGCCTTGATGGGGTGCGCAGTGTCATGAGTGAGCATGCATGACTCAAGGATGAGTCTCACCAAGTGATTTAGAACAGAAAATAAACGTTAATTCTAAAATCAACGGAAGTTATCAGAGTGTAAATTGTAAATAGTTCAGCCTAGCTGTACATTCATCATCTACTAGTGCAGAGGCTAACAGTAGAATCATTAAGCAATTCTAGCAAACTGAATCTTTGGATGTTTAATTAAAGTGCGCCATAAAGTTTTGCTAATCTATAAATGATTATTTGTGAAGGATACCATGTAATTTGATTGCACTGGAAAATATATGGCAAAGCAAATGCACACAAAGTAAAAACAAATCAACAAGCTGCGGTTTCTTTTAGCAATACGATACAAGTAGGAATATATGTAGATTGATATTCATTTATTGTGCTGGTGCTGCGTCTCTCACGCCGAAAGGCTTCAATAATAAAACACGATTGGAAACGAGAAGGAAAGCAGCGAAACAAATCGAACAGGTTGAAATGACTGAGGAAGGAGTAGCACGAAGGAAAGAAAGAGACATAGAATCAGCGTAATTCAAGAACCACCAAATAGTCAGAAGTAAACAGTGACGGTCATTGAACTAATTGAAGTTATCTAAGCATACTAAATTAGCAATAATGATGATAACAATAATTTATATAATGATGATAATGACAAAAAGGATGATAACAATTATAATGATTCTTATTATTATCATTATAGACATTACCAATAGTAGTAGTAGTAGCAGCAGTAGTAGTATTGCTATTATTATTATATTGATTATAGAAATAATGATGCTAATAGAAATAATGATAACCATTATGATAATGGAAGTACTAAACAATGATAATAATTGCTATTACACATTCTGAAAGTAATAATAATAACAATAATAAAGATAATAACAATGGATAATGATGGTGATGATAATTATGTTGATGAATGATGATGGTAATAATAAGGGTAATCAAAATGGCAACAAAATAGTAATAATGATACTAGAAATAATAATGATAATAATGGCAATATATTGGTAATTATATACGTAAATGATCATAATGATAATGATAACAAAAATATTAAGAGTATCAATAATAAAGATGATAATGATAATAATGATAATAATAATAACGGTTATAATAATGAATATATAATAATGATAACAACGATAGCAATAATTTTGATTTTAATAATATTGGTGATAATAACAGTAATAATAAAAAACAATAAAAATTATATCAAGATGATGATATTACAAATAATGATAATAACAATTATAGGGATAACAATGATAGAATAAAAAAACAATTCGATTAGTAGTATTCCTGCTGCAAATAATAATAATGATAATAACAATGATGATGATGATGATGATAACAATGATAATGATGACATCAATAATAACAACGAAAATAAAAACAATGATAATGATAATAGAAATAATAGTAACAAAGGCAAAAATGATAATAAAAATTGTTGTAATAATAATATTGATAACAGTAAAACCTATTATCAGTCATTATTATTATCATTACCATTATCATTATTATCATCATCATTATTTTTTTCTGATTTATTATGATGATAATGATGATGATGATAATAATAATCAGGATGAGGATGAGGATGTTAATAAGAGTAATAATCATAATAATATTGATGATGATAATTTTGATAAAATAATAATAATAATAATAATAATTATTATTATTATTATTATTATTATTATCATTATTATTATTATTATTATTATTATTATTATTATTATTATCATTATTATTATTATTATTATTATTATAATGAACATGATGATGATAATAATAATGTTCATCATTATCATCATCATAATAGTAAAAACATAATAATGATGATAATTATAATCATTATTATTATGATTTTATGATTTTATCATTATCACATTTTTTTCATTATGATAACATTAATAATATTAATAAAAATAATGATAATAATACAAATAATGAAAATAACACACACAAAATGTTAATACCACTTCTCCTAAAAATAATGATAATAATTTTAATACTAGTACTCATAATAATAATCGTCATTATAATAATAAAAATATTAACATAATAAGGATGATGATAATAACAATGAAACAATGATAATAACAATGATCATGATGATAATGATAACGGTAATAATAATGATAATAGTAACAATAATGATATAACAATATTAATAATAATAATAAGGATAAGGATATAACAACAATAATATTAACGACGATGATAATGATGGTGATGAGAAAGAGAAAAGTAATGATGATAAAAATAATAAGATATGAATATGAATAACAACAACGAAAATAATATCAGCATTAACATTTATAATACTATTGTAGTAACAGTATTGATAATAATAACATAAAAAAACATTAATGTTAGAAATAACAACGGCAATGATATTCATGGTAATAATGATGATGGTGATGCTAGTGACGGTTAAAGTGAAAATAATAATGATGATAATATTAACAATGATAATAAAAACATCGATAATAGCATTGATAATGATGATAATGGTAACAATGAAAAAAATATATATTATAATAATAATAATAAATATGATAGTAATAATAGTAACAATAATAATAGTAATAATGATACTGATAATAAATATTATATCATTAAAATCATTATTATTACTAATATCATCATTATCATTATTATTATCAATATGATGTTAAGAGTGTTATTATAATGAATATTATTGTCCTTATAGTTATTATTAGCGTCATCATTATTACTGTGATTGTTGTTATTATTATCATTATTATTATTATTATTATTATTATTATTATTATTATTATTATTATTATTATTATTACTATTATTACTATTATTATTATCATCATCATCATCATCATCATCATCATCATCATCATCATCATCATCGTCATCATTATCATCATCATCATCATAGACAGTAATAATAATAACAGTAATGATAATAATAACATTAATAATTGAAATAACATTGGTGATAACAATAATAATATTATTAATCATCATCATCATCATCATCATCATCATCATCATCACACTTTTCATCGTTATCATTATCAATATTAATATCATTATTAATGTTATGCGTTCTATTATCATCAGCATTATTGTCCTCCTCATGAACAATTGACATTCTACACATCACTAATACAAATAATACTGTCTCTTTGATCTCATTATCAGTGCCGTAGTTGTCATTGAAATGAAAGCATAATCATTATATATTATAATTGGTGTCATGATTTTTTTTAACATTTTCATCATACTGGTTTCGTTATTGTTATCATTAATAGTAACCCTTTTACTACCAGTATTAATCTATTGTCAATGTGAAAATGGAAGTTACCTTTGCATTCATTATCACCATTATCATCAGTCAATATTGTTACCATCATTTCCGTTTCTACTGAAGACAAAAAACTCTCCGGTCTGGCGCACCTCTTACCTGGTTCGGCGGGAAGCGGCCGTACAGCGACACGAGCGTGAACAGCATGACCAGGCCGAGGATGTTCGGGATGAAGGCAGTGCACTTGACCGAGAGTGTGTAGCCCATGTAGCGGGAGTACATGCACATGTCCTCTGAAGGGAAGACATGTTTACTTGCTTGTGTGGTCTCGGCGAAGAGTTGGTCTAAGGAATCTCACTAGACTTCACTGCCCAAGGCAATGTATTAATAATACTGAGGATAATTTGAATCATATTAGATTCATTATCATTATGATCTTGATAACGTTAATCATTGCAACCTAGAAGTAGGAGAGATCACAATAATAATGATGATTATCTGAGAATATGATAAATATATCTTAATTAACATATCTAGAAGAATGAAGTTATTAATCTATGACTACATAAAGAATAATCTAAATTCAAATAAAGATAATGACGTAATGGCAATGACAGTAATGATAATGAAAATTTAAAAAATCAGTCGTTAGTGCAATGATCTTGATGGTGAGACTGTTATCATCAATTTCATAATTATTGTTTACAATAACAATACAAATGTCGGTTTCAATAACAATAACAATAACAATAATAATATTAATGATAACAATAATAAAGAATACTATTATAACTTATGTTATTACTATTATCATTATCACTCATTATTATTATTACTGCCATTATTATTATTAATCATAATGATAACACGAATCATGATACTACTACTACTTATAATAATAACAATAACAACAAGAAAAAAACAATAATGATAATATTAACAATAATAATAATAATAATAGTAATATTAATGATAGAAAATAAGTTCTTTTATTTCTATTCGTATGCCATCAGTATCATTATCATTAACATTAACATTATATTTGTTATAATAACAGTAATGATAATAATAACAGTAATAACAATTAAAATAACATTGGTGATAACAATAATAATATTATTAATAATAATGATAATAATGATCATGATAATAATTATAATAATAACAATAATTATAACAATAACAATAATAATAACAATAATTATAATAATAACAATAATAATAACAATAATTATATCAATAATGATTATAATGGTAATAATAAGAATAATGATAATAATAATAATGATAATAACAATAACGACAACAATAAGAACATAATAACAATATAATAACATTAATAATAACAACAAAGATGATCATAAAAATACAATAACAACAACAGCAAAAATGGTAATATCAATAATAATGATGATCATAGCCGAGTTATGATAATGATACTAAATGCTAATAATAATAATATTATCATTATTACTATTACTGTTATTATTGTAATTATTATCATCATCATTATCATTATTATCAATAATGATGAAAGAAAAATTATAGTAATTATAATGATGATAAAAAATATAATTACAATATTTATCATTTTTGTCATCAACATCATTGTTATTATCATTATCATCATTATTTCTATTATTATCATCAATATCATTAGTAGCAGTAGTAGTATCATCATCATCATAACTACTACTAATAGCAGCAGCAACAACAACAATAATAATAATAATAATAATAATAATAATGATAATAATAATGATAATACTGATAAATATAATGATAATAATAATAATAATAATAATAATAATAATTATTATTATTATTATTATTATTATTATTATTATTATTATTATTATTATTATTATTATTATTATCATTATTATTATTATTATCATTATCATAAATATTAACATCAATTATTTCTTACGTTCTCGGTAAGGCTTTCCTGTGGTTCCGTTGATCTCGCCGCGCGCCTCCCACGCCCAGGTCGTCTCGTTGTTCTCGCTGATGAACCGACTGTCCTCCACCGTGTACACCTTCCTGCTCACCGGGTCTGGGGAGGGACACGGGCTTGGGAAGGGGCTCGCTCTCGCTCTCTCTCTCGCTCTCAGCTCTCGCTCTCTCTCTCCTCTCTCTCTCTCGCTCTCGCTCTCGCTCTCTCTTCGGTCTAACTCTCGCTCTCTCTCTCTTCTCGCTCTCGCTCTCTCTCTCTCTCTCGCTCTCGTCTCGCTCTCGCTCTCTCTCTCTAGCTCTCGCTCTCACTCTCGCTTTCTCTTCTCTCTTCTCTCGCTCTCGTCTCGCTTCGCTCTCTCTCGCTCTCACTCTCGCTCTCTCTCTTCGCTCTCGCTCTCGCGCTTTCGCTCTCCGCTCTCGCTTTCGCTCTCGCTTTCGCTTTCGCTCTCGCTCTCGCTCTCTTCGCTCTCGCTCTCCGCTTTCGCACTCTCTCGCTCTCAGCTCTCGTCTCTCGCTCTCGGCTTTCGCTCTCTCTCTCGCTCTCGGCTCTCTTCGCTCTCTCTCGCTCTCTCTCTCGCTCTCGCTCTCATCTCTCGCTCTCGCTCTCCACTCTCTCTCTCGCTTCATCTCTCGCTCTCGCTTTCGCTCTCTCTCTTCCGCGTCCGCTTCGCTCCTTCTCTCTCTCCTCCTCTCAAGCTCTCTCCAATCTGCTCCTCTCTGCCTCTCCTCTCTCTCGTCTTCTCTACCGCTCGTCGCCTCCTCAATGGCTCTCGCTCGTCGTCTCTCGCGCTCATTGAGTCAACTCTCTCTCCACTCTCTCTCGTCGGCTCTCGCTCTCGTCGCTCATCGGTTCTCGCTTCTCTCTCGTCGTTCTCGCACTCGGTCGTCTGCGCTCGTCGTGCGGTGCTCACTTCTCGCATCGTCGCTCTCTCTCTCTCTCGTCGCTCGTCGCTCAATCGCTCTCTCTCGTCGCTCTCGCTCGCGT